GTTCATGGAATATTATCTTGTTCATTGATAAGAAAACATGTCTGCCTACTTCTTGAAGAGCCTTCTTCACTTTCTGTGCCGTCATAAAGGGTTTTTCACCCTTTATTTATTATCATCTGCTCAGGTACAAGAGCTGGCTGTTGGCAATTTCCCAATTTTTCAAGATTGCATCTTGTTAAGGAATTTCCTTCTTTGTGTCGATTCTCTTTCTGTCACTCTGTATTCCTTGACTGAGTAAGTTTCTACACAAAAGCAGGCAGAGGTCACCATACATCAATGTTTATCTGTAGTCTAGAATGTGTGCAGCTGCTTAATTCCCATCAGCAGTAGCAATAGCAACCACGGTTACCGCATTGCCCCTTATTGACAGGCAGCTGTAAACAACCAGGGACATTACACAGCGCCTGGAAGCCTGAGAAGGAAGCAGCCTGTGTCTTACTGAAAAAGAGAGTAAGGACTAACTGAAAGAAAATAGACTAAACTAAAGAAACTCACCGTATATGTTCTCAACCATTGTGTTTGACAAACCAAATACATTTGATATTTCCAGGTTTTTGCTTTTTTGTTCTCTGCTTCACAGGCGTGGCCATTTTTATACTCCTCATACTGACAGTCAACTCCAAAACCTAACCAACCTTATTCAACTTTGAGCCAGGTCTGTACAATCTTAGTAACATGAGCGTTGTTGCAACTATGCATGGTTTAAAGACTGTAACTCCTGATCCCACATGCGACAGTCTGTTGTCACGTCGTGGGCCAGAAAGGAATACTGGAAGTTTCTCACAGTGACTTTCAGGCTTTTTTCAATATGTAGTACCATATCAGTGATCTTCTCTGTGATGGTTCTTTGAGACAAACTGACGCTTTGGGACATTTGACTTTGTCTGGTAGAAACTCCACAGCAGGAAGAAGTTGGTCCCTCATTAAGTTTCCGAATTAGAGATTGGCTTGTATCCTTTAATCTCGTTCACCACAAAACTTGTCTACACAACATTATCTCTTTCAGAATGTGATCATGTAACTGCTGTGTTTGTCTTGATCAGACATGTGACCTGAAAGGCAAGAAGGGACCATCCTGATCTTACATGTCACAATTTTATGTTGCTTTTCTTTCATTTCGTTCAAATTCAAATACAAAATTAATTATATCTACTTTCGGTTAAATTCCCTCAGTTGCTTCAGCTCTGATTGAAGCTCCTTGTCTCAGGCTACATTCACACTATGTTGTTTGTTTGAAAAGGGCAGTCAATGCTCACATGTCTGAAAATGTATATCACATGACCACTAACATACACAGAGCATGCAGGTGCCAGTGCACACAGGAAATGTTGCACCCTTCGAATGACGGCTCCTCTGGTATGCATGTTGTATCACTGTAGCAAAGACAAGAGGGTCAGCAATGTGTGTGGTTGATTATCAGCATTGTGCTCTGCCCTGGAAGCCGAAGTTAATGCCGTTATATATTCTTCTGGAAGGGGGTCTTTGATAGGATCCTGACGAATCTGCTAAGGCTCAGTTGTGACCATAAAGACCAATGCAGCAAGCAGTTGCGTCTACGTGATTATTTCCAAACTTGTCTATTTTAGTGGATTAATACTAAGTTGAGTGGATGCCATGTGTATCTGCAGTATATTTTCAAATGAAAACTTCAAATCCTAAGCTCCAGCCTGACTACCTACTGGGAAAAATAAGTGCACAATATAAAAAAGATAATTTTTTGATTAAAGCAGAGTTCAGTGTTGGCTATATATACCTTCACACCTCGAGCCCTTTGCTTCACAGTTCCCCTCGGTTTTCGGTTCGAAAGAGACTGGTAGCTGTTATTATTCTGTTTTTCATGCACAAAGTTATAGGGAACACTGCTCATTTATCACAGCAGAAACCCTTTCCAGTCCCTCCGCCCAATAATAGTGAAATAGCTTGTTGCAAATCACACAACTCGTGTTCCTCCCTGTTCCATTCTACAATGCGATGGCCACAGGGACACGGAGAGCTGAGCTGATTTGATAATGAGCTCTATGTGCTTGATGGGATGTAGAGTTTTAACGGCCCTATCTCCTCCTGAGCTGGACGGAGCAGACGTGTTCATCATCAAAGTGACAGCATTAATCTATGGAGAGTAATGGCTTGCCCCTGCACCACTGTCTCCAGTTGTCTTATGAATTTATCATAATCATGCTCGCTCTCTGCTGCACTATACTGCTGTGTCAAAGGTTTCCATGCATCTTATTCAGTTTTTGTTATGGTCAGCAGCCTTCTATGTACATTGTTCATGACTTCAAGTAGTGTGCTTACAACAGGAGAAATTCCTGAGCGGCTGATTATTGTGGCTCTACAGATTAACCAATTTTAATGCATGTGAATAAAGTTGTGTGAAAATAAGCAGAGTGCCCTGATTAAGCCCATCATCAGCTGCCATGCCATTCAGAAGAGATGATCCCTGAGAGTAAACACATTTAATGTGAAACAGTTTTCTTTCCTCTATAATATTAATTTGTCACTTGTTTATCAGTGTTTCACTGCTGCTGTTCAAAAGACTTTTAAGCTTTTATTTCTTAAATCATCAGTTTGAAAAGGTAATGCATAATCTTGTTCCTAACAATAACAATAGCACGAAGCAATGTGTAAACGTTCTTTTGTGTACAGTTGTAAAAACAATTTAAAAAGGTTTGTGTGAATGGAAACTGAGGGAATTTCTTTAAATGAATATTCTGCAACATGTTTGTCTATGCTGTAGAGTTGCTGTTTGATCCATTCAACGTACCTCCACTGCTTTACTGGTGAACAGCAGATATTTTGCAAAGATAATGTTAGTGTAGGACAGTACTATTTTTACTCTAATCTATTTTTAAAAGACTCCAAACAGCTTTACATTTAATACTGATATTTGGATCCATGGTATTGAATTCACGTTACTTTTCACAGGTTTTCTGCAAAAATTCCCCAGTGAATGCTGGAGGTCACTGACTGATGAAGCCCATGTGATGATAAATAAAATGTATTGATTTGATTGGTTTGTTTATGTGATACCCCCAAGATATATATATAGATTGATGACTTTGTACATTCCGAGGGAAAATTAATTTGTCATAGCAGCCAAACTGTAAAGAAAGTAAAGAAATTCAAACAAAATACAAAGAAATACAAATTGTTACATACTAATGTTCTGTGACAGTCCTGTTCAATTCTGTGACAGTTAAATAATGTGTAGTATAAAAAGTGCAAAGTATAAATGTTTTAATATGATTAATTTAGTCCAGTTCACTGATCACAGGTCTGGAGCAGACAGATGAGTTGAAACGTTGCTTGAAAGAAAGACTGATGACAGAGTTTGTGCCCATTGCTCAAACATGCAAAGCTTTCTTCTGCCCTGAGTGCACTGCCTCCTCCATCCTGTTCCAACCTCCGGAAAGTGATGGGGCTTTTGATAAGCAAATATTTTACAGTATTTCACTGTTAGTTAAGAAAACATTAAGATAGTAATATACAATATAGCACAATCTGTTACACACAGATAATCTGCTTGTGCACAAGCATTATAATAGCAATTTGCAAAGGTGCAAGTCCACTTGACTTTTATAGGGAATGGGAGATGACACTAATTGCTGAACCAAACCAAATTAGACACATCCTAATTTAATTTGCTTTCAAGCCTGTCTGCATTATTATCTGTCCCAAGTCAACAATGTACCCACAATGCAACTCCTTTTAAGACCAATACACCCATGGGTGCACAAATGGATGTTATTTAAATTAAACAGTATAGGTGCTGGTTGGGAAAGTGACACCTACTTTGGTCTGACATTGGCAAAGGCATATTTACTTGACACCACATTGCATCAGTTGCGACATATGGCCTGGGGAAGCTTCAGGTTCGCCCAGGATGAGCTGCAAAGTGTTTCTGAGCAGAGAGGCTGAGCCTGCTGTCCCCCGTGACTCATCTCTGCAGAAGTGGCAGACAGTCGTCAGATGGAGAAACGTTCCTTATAATTTCAGAAATGTCATAACAGATTAAATGAAAACTGTTTTTAATTTGTTTTTAAATCAGAACTATACTGAATGCACTTTAAAAGATTATTGCAAATGTCACTGCCCCCTAAAATCAATCTGATATATTTAGAAACCAGAACATTCTTATGTCTTTTGTCATTCCCTACACATACACTATATTAGTTTATTTGAATCATGTTCATTTTCTCAACTCTTTAAAGCATTGTTACTGCACTGCAAACAGCACCAGAGTGATATTCTAAGCCCTATAAAACAAAGACTATAGGAACTATTTACAAGTGCTATGTATGCGCAGTCTGCAGGGAACACCACCACCACACACCACAATCAGACACATCACTACCGCTGAAGACAGTCTCCTACTCTCTCCACATCTCCAAATATCCTCCTCTCTCATGCGTCACCCATTGGTGACAGCCTTATCAAGGAGTCATCACAGCGCTGTCACAGAAGAGGGACATCTGCTGAATGATGTTGACGTCTCTTTTCCAAGAAAGAGGAGAAGAAGAGCAAGAAAGATACAGTTCAATTGTATTTTCCTTCCCGGGGAATTTGCTTTTATAGAGTGAATAGTGTAGTCCAAATTAGGAGTGACAGCTTTGTGGTGAGTCGCCGAGCAGACTCCATTCTGTGCACGACTGATCTTCTGCTGAGGGGAATGGAGTGGCTCTACAGTATTTATCATATCGCTCTGGGGTGAGCTTATACTGTAACACTACAGCTGATTATTATGCAGTGGCGCTCAGGTACTGAACCATCATCTCATTCAATCCTAAAATAAAAGCAATGTGAGTGGATGTTCCCCCAGACATTTCAGCGCACAAATTAGTGGAAACTTGAACATGAGGCACAGTAGAATGAAAATTATCTTCTAATTGTATATAAATTAAAATGGTATTAAGGTCTGATACTAAAAGCACCCATTCATAGAGAATAATCAGGTTTGTTCTAATAACTCTGAACTTGTTCCTTCTTATATTGGTCTCTAGGTCTACCAGCACTCTTTCTTGGCATCCTACCTTGTCTACAACCTGTATACAAGGTGAGAAGCATAAAGAAAAGGCTGAAACAAGCCAATTCTACTGATGATATTCACATCATGGTCAGAAATCAGTGGTTGTGTTAAATGTATGTTGTTTTTTGTTCTTGCATCAGAGAGGTCCGGGAGCTGAATCCTCCAGAGGTATCAGACTCAGTCCTCCAGTTTGCCTCATGGGGTGTTCATGGTCAACAGCTGGTGAGTAGTGTACTGAGATGTACAGGTAACACATTCTTGAATCACCCTCCCCCTTTTTTTCTCTTGATAAGTACAAAAAGATAAGATAACCCAAACACCCACTGTGTTCTTTTTATTATTCAGTCTGCCCTGTATTGGACAATCCCACCAAGGAAAACCAAATTTCAAATCTGCATCTCCTCATCCACAGATACAATAAGCTCCGTTCATCCTTCTCTGAACAATTATGGTGTTTTTTCGGCACCGGGTTCAGCAAGGATAAGCGTAATATTCATGTGACTAATCACTTTGTGATTAAATCCTGCATCTAGACATCAATAGGCATGCAAGAGAAATGCCCTGCTAATATCATCTGTGATTTGATACACAGCAGAAATCTGTCTGAATGCTGTTCAAATAATCCATTTCATAACTTTACCTAAAATCATGAAAGAGATTGACAAAAAAACAATCAGTATAACTATTTGGATCAGTTAATAATTTCACAAACTTCTTGACGAAACATAAATAGCTAAAATATCTTAATAATATTCTAAGTTATCTCAGTTAGCTGCACTGTCTGTCCTAATTCATTGCCATTTGAACATTTTTGGGTTTCAAATTGTTGGTTGGACAAAACAAGTGATTTAAATTCTTCATGTTGGGCTGTGAAAAGTGATCATTCCTCACAATTTCCTGCGGTGTAACAGAATAAACACTTAATTGGTTTATTGAGAAAGTAATTGGCAGATTCTTTCACAATGAGAATGAGTGTTGTTACAGCCTTAAACGTCTGCAATGTGGATTTCAATTAGATTTTGTCATTACACATGAAGAGGCCTTGCAGCTTGCAGAATGCTGAAAATCAATGTTTAATGTCTTATGTTTAATGTATAATTCATTTCACTCTCAGAACCCTCTGTGCTCTGAGGTAAAGGCCGATCAAAGACAGTTTCTGTCCTAAAAAGAAAAAAACAACTCTCTTTAAACTAAACAATTATTTTGAGGGGAAGCCAGCAACAGTTAGACTACTGGAGCAGTTGCTGGAAGACGACTTGTCAGGCAACCAAAGTGAGTAATGCCTCTGCCGTGCAGAGTATTATGTGCAGAATTATCAGTCCATTATTTTCTCCAGTGCAGACAAGGAAAGTAATTAACCATTTGATAGCATATTTATCTCGTTTCCTCAGTATTTATACCTGTTCCTTGTGGAACCTGCTCTCCCAAAAGCCCTTCAGCAGAGTGCCACCGCCAGTGCCAGCTAATAACAAGCGTAGTCATTAATCATGAGCCGCATATATTTGCGTTATCGTGAGCCGCTGCCTTATTATTTTTATCATTGAGTGTGTTCTCTTTGTGATCACGTCACCAGGCCTTCTCTGTTTGGTCTTGGGGAAAAAAAGAACGGTAACTTGAGGACTTCTGTGTATAAGGTGGCAGCAGTACAATGAGTTCTCATGTCTCCGTAACTTATAAATAAATCACATATAGTAAAAACATGTCAAACAAACATATTTTTTGTAATTACTTAAATATTTAATTGGATTACTAAGAAATGTAATTGGATCTGAACACTTTTTATCTTCAATTAACTCCTACAAGTCCAGTTGCCTGTGTACAGCTGCGTACAAGGCCTGGAGATACTATGGCCAGGACGACTTCATTTCCACAGAAAATGGCTTGGAATTACTTCAAAGCCATTGAATTTTTTATTAATATTATTTAATATATTATTCAAATTATTTTACCTTCTGCTAAAAATATGGATGCAGCCAAAATATAGATCCTCATTCACCAACCATTCTTAAGATCTACAGTTTTTACAAATTATTAACCAATGTTTTCTTATTTGTTCATAGCTAAGAACAGAATCAAGAGCACTCTTCATGCACACTTGACAACTGACATGCTTGTGTAAAATAATCAGTTATTTTTTTCAAATCGAAAGTTATATTATAGGATTTAAACTAAAACTAGCAACTAAAAAAGACAAACAGGCTTCACTGCATATTTAAATGGTTCCATTTTTATTAATTTCTTTAAGTGTCTGAGAGATTTTAAACACAACATTTATTCACAAAAAATAGACACCCATTGGGTGTTTACTAATTAAATAGCCTGTTAATTCTAGAAAACGAGCCGACTTATTGATTCTGAGATGAGAGCTGACCAAGTGATGCAACCCCAAAGCATGGTGCACTTGTGTGCCCAGGTCTGTGTCCACAATAGAATGGCATAGGTCTCATTTTTCTGTCTGGACCTGTCCGAGCCTGAGAAAAACCTAACCGAGCCCAACACAAACCTGTTTATCTGTGATAAACTAAAATAGACTTTCACTTTCTTCAAAATGTAATCTGGGCTGATCATAGCAGTTTTATTTATTTTTTTCATCTGACAATGAAATGCGATTACATGTATTTTGCCCTTCCTGTTGACCCATAATGCAATGTGTGCGCTTATTTTTGATTTCAAATAAAATCCGACTATATATTTTCTGTCTATGCCACAGATATATATATTTGAAAACAACATTTACTACCAAACGGATGTTCAGAGCAGCTCGTGGAGGCTCACGTCCTCTGGACAAGAGGGGATCATCTTCAATGGGATCGCAGACTGGCTGTATGAGGGTAAGAGAGGGGCCACTGGGTCACACAACAGTCTTCAAAACCACCCACGGCATCGAAAACTCCGCCACCCAGAGAAAAAATGAAATGCGTATAAAGATGATAATGAAGTCAGAGTTTTATTCACTGAAAACACTTAAAATGAGAATATAAGTGGTTGATGCTGTTTGTTGTATGTTACATGCATAGTAAATGAATTGTGATGGAGCTGGTGATTAACCCTTCCAATCAGTTTTAATACTTTGTCAATGACTGCATAACAAATGTACTAATGCTGAAACCGACACTCTGACAAGGTAGAACCTTTTTATCAGTTCTGTATAGTGCCTGCACTAGGGTTGGGTATCGATCAGGTTTGTTGCGATGGTGGTGCTAAATCGATACTTTTAAAATGGTCTCGGTGCCTAAATGATGCAGATACTTTTTCTTAAGAAGAAAGCATAAAACAGTGGTTGACGAGCAGAGCACCTTAGCCAAGGCAAATTTGAAGAACAGTTTGAAGTATACTTCAAATAGATATACAAATATAAATGAGTGAGTTCAGTTTTGTTAAGTTTGAACATTTGCCATGTAAACTTGTTAACACTAAATAAGTTTCAGTGCTTAATGACAGCTCCAAGCTCGTCTTCAGCCGTCTCCCCACCACTGTGTCCAGGGACGCCCACACTGCCTCACTGATGTGATCAGCATCTGGTCACTCAAGCAGACACAGAGCATCCCTCTGTTTTCAAATGTCACTGTGTGTTGCCAGGTGCTATTTTACGTTTTTCATGTTCCCTCCTTTCCTTCTTCTTTTCTCAGTTTGCTGGTGAATGGTAAACATCTTGGCTATTTGCTGCATGCTCAGGTGTTGGAAACCTTTCACGTGAAATGCAGCCACACTTTCGACCGTTAAGAGTTAGGCCCTTTTTTTGTTGACATGTTGACTTATGTTTGAGGCATACATGTATATAAGCTGCCAGAGCCATGTAGAGAGTGTGTTGCCACCAGGGTTAAGTGTAATGTTAACTTGGCACGTGCAGTGATGTTAATGTTGTCTGTAAGGAGAACCAGTATTTCAGTACATAGCGCAGATACCAAAATGGCACAGATAAATCTGCGTAATGAGTTGGTCTGGTAGGTACCTACCAAGAAGGAACAGGTGTCAGATTGGCACCAGATTTCAGTACCCAACCCTGGCCTGCAGTCTCCATCTTCAAGTTCAAACAGTACAGCACCAACAACCTCTGTAAAGTAACATAGGCCGTACATAGGCTGCCCTACATAACTCATTGTGCCCCCCAAATGACTCATTGCTGGTACTAACTGGAGCAGAAAAAATACAAGGCTCAAGTATACACTTACTATATACTCCAGAAATGAGAGTATATATATAGAGTATATATATAGTATAGTATATCTCCCTAATGTGTCTTACTGGTCCAAATAATATCTAAGAAAAGCTGCAGGACCAACTCCTCTGTGATGGCTGACTTGGATTAACACTCTCCAGGCCCAGATTTTCTCATTTGTCTTTTATTGGCTTTCCAGAGGAGGTGTTCCACACTCAGGCGACTCACTGGTGGTCACCTGATGGAACCAGACTGGCCTACCTCACCATCAACGACTCCCTGGTCCCCAACATGCTCCTGCCTCGCTTCACAGGATCGCTCTACCCTAGAGGGAAGGAATACCCCTACCCAAAGGTAATCATGGTAGTGACACCCAAGTCTTTCGATCTCTCTTTCAGCAGAGCAAAACTAGAAATAATTAGTTCTATTTAAAATCTGCTAGCTCCCTACAACAACCCTTATAACCTGACAGTATCTAAACCTTGGGGTAGCTCCCTTCAATGCATCAAACCAGTATGAATAAGACAACTGAAGGCTATTCTTGTTTAATTCACGCTCACTTCCTCCCTTTGAAGAAGGAAGTTTGTAGGGAACCGAGGCACAGGGAGGAAAAGGAATGTGAAATGCTTTAGTGAGGTAAGCGAACACAACGCCATTACCTTGATGTGGATGGTTAGCACATCGAATGACTCTTAGATGAGAGAATGGTTGTGGAAAAGTGGTGGAATGAGGGTCATGAGAGAGAGGGCAATCTCATTTGTTGGTTCAGACTCATCCCAAGGGGGATATGTAATTAATGGAGCGCTGCTCTTGCTCTCAGTCTTACCTACAGTGTGTAAAAACGGATTCTGCAGCAGCTTAAGTGAAGCCAGCCGGGGATTGAACTATCGGGCCTTCTGGTTAGCTGGCCACCCATTTTACCTCCCCTCCGCCAGTCACATGACTGGTCTCTTAAAACAGACAGCTGTGCCAGTCAAAGGAAGCATGGAAACAGCTCAATAAATGGATTTTTTTAGGAAATCATTGTCTGGATGGTGCAGAGCTGCACAATGAGCTCAAACCTCAAAATCTCAAATCAGAGGCCAGACGCAGATATTTTATTCAGTTGGTAGAGTGATAATAGAATTAATCTGTACGTTAGTAATTATGACCATGCAGCTCCAGAAAATAATATTGCACACATACTACAAATGTATTCTATAGAACGGGAGCAAAAAACTCTGCATATTTACAGAAGGTGGCTGCAACTGTGGTCACTGCTGTTGTCTGCCCCGCATGAAACAGTTCAAGCTTCAAGCAGGCTGACTGATACATTTGTTTGGAGCTATTGAGAGCTACAAGAACTGCGAGTTCAAAGACTTACGACGCCAACTCAGTGGTGCAGGTGATAGGTCATGATATTCATGACCGATGGGATGATGCCATACTGATGCCCGGCTGAGCAATATACAACAGTGAAGTAGATAATAACAGGGTCAAGGACTACTCTAAACATAGCATATTTCATTGTTCTAACAAAGAAACAAATCTTCATTTGACTGTACATTTTATAAACATATCTATTGCATGTTCTAGATGAGGGATCCCTCCTCTGTTGTTTTTTCCCTTGGAGGAACATTTGTGAACTGTGATACTGGGCTACATTAATATAAGACTTGACTTGAAATGCATGTCAAATAAAACTATAACACAACAATTAGAATGGGAACTACACATGTGCTTTATCTTTATAACAGGGTTACTGTGTAGAAAGAAGAAACATAAACATGACTGACACATACAACGATCAGCCACAACAGTTAACTGCTTTTACTTCCTGACTAATTGATTGGTGTATATTGTGTATTGATAGGGTTCATTCTGAGCCATCGGTAATTTAAAAACTGACTTTGTAGTTAGAGGTATTGTCCATGGCTTTCTGGCTTGAGTCAGTCAGTAAAGTACAGTAAAAAAATGCTTCTAGCTTAGATTATATACCTGTCAAGTAAAATAAAGCACATGCCATCTGTAGACAGAGTAAACAGTAACAGTGTTATTGGGATAAGCTGTTATACCTCCATACGAGCAGAAAGTGAAGGACTGGAGAAGACGTATAATAACCAATCACAACAAGACCATGAGCATGAGTGTAGGAGAGATGCTGTCACCTCTGTGATAGGTAACTCTGCATTTCTGAGATATCCCTTCTCGTGTCGACTAATGAGCTCTATTTTTGAGGGAGGCGTAAGCGAGGAAAGATGACTGACTTGCCCCGGGGCCTGCACAGTAAACATCATCACAGATTGTTCTCTACTTGTTTTATATTCTCATTATATTCTTTGTTAAAGTCCCACTGACATTGTTCAGTATGACGGCATATAAAAATAGAAAGCAAGCGCGACGTGTTGCTCGGTGCTTTCTGTCATTGCTACAGCGCGTTCAGTGCATCACCGCAGCAAATTTCATGTATATGTAAACTTGGCAATAAACCAGATTCTGATCCTTCATGGATATGACAAAACTTTGATTAGGCCAATGTGTGCAATTCTACATTTGTGTTGTTTTTTTCCACAGATGGGTCAAATCAATCCCACTGTCAGACTCTATGTGGTCACTCTAGATGGCAGCTCCCTAACGACTGAACTGAGACCCCCTGACAGTTTTGAAAAGAGGTACACATGAAAGTCAATTTGGATAATAATATGTTATTTTTATATTCTCAATGATTTCCATCGATGTGTTTTTACTAGTGAGTACTACATCACCATGGTGAAGTGGGTGACTAAGGAGAGGCTAAGTGTGCGTTGGATGAATCGAGCTCAAAACATGTCAATTCTCTCACTGTGTGATGTCACCACAGCTGACTGCACTAAGGTGAGAAACTCTCTGTTGACAACGCTTCTTCTTCTAAAATCACCAGTTAATATACAGAGGTTCTATGAATTAACTTGATCTTTCCAACGCAGAAACATGTGAGGACATCAGAGAAGTGGCTTGATCGCCAGGTGAGTGTTTCACTCCAGAGGCTTTTGCGGGACCAATTCATTTTAAATGAAATTAAGGATTGGATTCAGGCTGATTTCAAATAATGGACTCACAAAAAACATTGTAAGGAAAGGTAAATGTGCAAAAATGGTTTGGGCATTTTAAATAGTTTAGGATTCAGCCTTTTGTCTGAATAAACTTTGTTTGAATTGTCCCTAGTCATAACCGACTTGAGGTTCCATTGAGTTTTTGAAGTGAAATAAGCCCGAAGGAAACATTATCATGAATTTCAGTGGTCAAACAAATAGTGAATATCAGTGTGTTGATTGAACTAGTGCAGATGGAATTGACATTAAACTAAATTTATTTAACCAGGCTTTATTTTTTCATTTAAAATTCCAGTTCAGTCATTGCACACGATGTGTGGTGTTCTAAAAGAATTTTAAAAAAAAGAGAAAATGTCAAAAAGTGTTCAGTGTCATTGTTTCTCCTTTCTCAGAATGAGGAGCCAGTATTTTCCAGAGACTGCACAACAGTTTTCATCACTATGCCTTTAAAACAAGGCGACCGCGGGACATTCAACCATATCACCTTGATCTCCAACCAAGTAAAACATGACATACTTGATGAAATAACCACTTTGACTTGGGCGCTTTCAATGCTGTGTTTCTGTCTTGTCTACAGTCAGGCCCTTCCACTCATTCATAATGCTTATGATGTAATCTGGAAGTCTCATCATTACGAATTTTATTTCCTGAAACACCTGAGAATAAAAAACATGTTTCTCTTCATCAAGTTAAGGAGAGTGTTGTACAATAGATGCACTAGAGGCAGTGAGATGAATTTAGTGTTATAGTTTTAAATTCAAAGAGAGTGCCAGGTAAAAAAAAAAAAACACCAGTGTGCCCTTTTACGAGCATGTAGGGCATGTGAGGTCATGTTGACACGACTTCTCTGCTCACTGGTGGTGTGTTCTTTCATTCACTTCTCAGTCTGAGGATCAAGAGGTCAACCTCCGCCACCTCACCTCAGGAAGCTGGGAAGTCTCTCAAATTCTGGCCTTTGACGAGACCACCAACTCAGTGTGAGTGACTGACCATATATTTAATATATATATATATATATGTGTGTGTGTGTGTGTGTATAAACAATATGAACTAACAGGTTGACTTTATATTTTCCAGTTATTTCCTAAGCACAGAGGGTGGATCAGCACAGCGACAATTGTACAGGTACCATATGAATATCATTTCAATACAGAAGTAAAGAAAGCACCATGATTCATTAAAAGACAGTGTGATGGTGATGATGATAGGAAATACACTTACCTACCTCCTCGCTCTCAGACTTGACAGTGAGCTAAGGTCAGAATAAAGACTGTGAACATGGAGAAACAGGTTTGCTCTGTCCAAAGGGAACAAGATCCACCCACCAGCACCTCTGAAGCCAGAAGTCTTCCCTACACAGACTTCCACAAAAGTCTTTACACATTTATTTTTCCACATATGCAGTGGACTCCATGCCACCTGTAAACCTTACATGCTGATGTGTAAACCACTACAGTGTCCAGAGGTTCTGGTAGGCAGATTATGTAGCTGTTACTCTGGCTAAAGGTTTTCCCCTTTTGCCCAACTTTTTTAGGATACATGCACGACAGTGGTATGAATCTGTGACTCCCCAAAATAACAAATATTCTTTTTTCTCATCATTTTAATTAATTTCCCTATAAAGCTCCCCACATACATCCACAAAATGTTTGTATCTGAAGAAGGGAGCTTTTTTTTTAATCAGTTTTAGCCAAATTACAACATATATGTTTTTTATTTAACTACCTTGATTTGCTGTTTCTAAAGAGAAGATGCACTGTAGTGTTAATGCAAATTAATTACTATTTTTGCTTTTTCTTTGGCAGATTTATTTATTTTTTCGTTTCTTTTGCTTGCAAGCCAGAAACAATGTGCCTGTATCTCAAATGATGTAAAACCTCTGAAATCCACTCCTGCTGCCTGCTGACATCTTTGTGTCTCCCACCAAACAGGGTCTCCACTGTGGATCCAGTCCGTAAAGAATGCCTCACCTGCTCCCTCTTCAAATCAAAGTGCACCTACTATGACGCTGCTCTCAGCCCTGACTACCGCCATGTTCTCCTCAACTGTAGAGGTAACGCCCCATGGCCGACGTCAGGTTCCCTGAGATGATGTAACATGTTTAACTACTGAGGTAACCCCAAATGTTAAAGAGCTGCATGTGCTTGGAGTTTGCTGTTGCTCCAGACACCATTTTGACTCTAAAATGAATCCTGTGATTATCATTGCAGCAATAATGTTTAGTTTTCACAGTTTCATTAGTATTTCTCATGTATTGCAAGATTACAGACGACAACCAAAGACTGCTGCACACAGAAATATTTACTGAACTATTTGTTTTAATGTGCAAGTCTATCTTACTTACATGCAAAGTGTCACATCTGAGTATACAAATGACATACATGCAACATAAAAATGTCGGTGCCTTTATTTCTCATAAACTAGACTACTGCAATTAGTTTTTCTCTGCTACACTTGTTTTAAAACACTTTGCCAATCAGACAATCAAATATCCAATAAAGTTGTATTGGCTGATCTCAACTTCTTTTCCACAGGTCCTGGAATACCCCAATCATCTCTTCACAAACTAAATGATATGAACAGTAAGTACACTGGCAAACTGACCCAGTTTAATATGTAGATTTACACACTTACACTTTATTGCATCAAGCATATTTCAATATTCTGTTAGGGTATAAGCTTAATTTTTCTTTTTAGTTTGAGTGCATGAATCGATCAACTAATATTTAGAGATGAAGTCACTAAAATGTGGTATTTAAGACAACATTCCTTGAGAGAAATTAACAGTGGACACATGGATGCATTAAAGAGGGAAGCATTTGAAGAGAGTGTCAGGGAACAGTAAGATTAACCATCATACAGATAGTGATTCATTCTCTATCATATCACAACATCTCTGACTTTCAACATCTATGTCTTTTAACAGAGTACAAGATTTTTGAAAGGAACACAGTATTAAAACATGCACTGGTGAACAGGACAATACCAAAGTGGGAAAGAAGAATTGTACAAATCAACAACTTTGGTAAGACATATCATTTTTTGGGTTTTTGTTGTTCACTAGCTTGTCTGTAACAGAGGTTCCCAAAATGTTTAGTACCCCCACCTTCAAAATAAGAGTCATTCATCTATCCCTGGAGGCAGTAGATTTGTCAGGGGATGAGGTCGGATGCCGTCCCCTTTAGCCAAACTGACCAAAAAACCGTATGTGCACATGTTGTTTCCTGTAGTGCCGTAAACGTACCCTCTGGAGCTGATGATAGGGGACAAAAAAGGAGAAACATTTTCTATTGTTTTTATTACATTTTCAAAATACCCTCCCATTCCCCAGGATCTTAGAAGTGCAGATGTTTATGAATCTGTGGAAATCAACTTATTTAAGAAGGCTGCACTTGTGTAAGTGTGAGTCTCATTTTTATCCGGATAAGATCAGATTTATTTTGATCATATTTACTCAGGATCCTTATCATACACATGCATACCTGTAGAAAGATCATTAGAAACCTTATTATCTGTATACACTGTATTTTTCTTACCACTATATCTTCTTTCTTTAGGAGGATTATACTGTAGCGGGGAAATCAGGTTTCTCTAGTCCCCTTGGTAGATGAACTGGGTTTTCTCATTTACATTATGTTATACAAATCCAAACTGTAAGCTGTATAAATTAAGTGGATGATCGTTTCCAGCATAATGCTGCTCATCATAAACAATACTGAGTGAGCAGGTGCAGAGCTTTTTGAAGTGATTATGAAACAGACCTAGAATCCATAATGCAATATAGTTTTAATTAGAGTGGATGGATCACCATATGGTTTATTTTCTCTGATCTGTGTTCACTGTTTGAGACAGTGGGACAAATGTTTAAGGCCCAGAAACACAGTCAGATAAATGTAAATGGAACAGCAGGTGTACTTTTCACAAGAACCACTGTGTTTATTTTGAGTGCAGAACGTATTTTCTTGGAGTCTGTCAGTTCTGAATCATCAGAGGTCAGAGCGCACACAGAGCAGTGGTCAAAGGACACTAGACTTGGCAGAGCAGCTTAACTGCATCTTGACACTTGTTTAAAAGACTTCATCTTGAATCTTAAACGCCTTTAGTAAGTGATATACCCACTTACTTTTGTCCTGACATCGTTGCCCTGCATGTTTCACACCACTTAACACCTCCAGCAAGGATCCCAAGACTCAACTACATATTACTGTGAATCACTCACATTATAAGAGAAAGAAGAGAAAAAATGGCAGGCAGTAAGCATCTTGGTTCACTCTTGGAGTACGTGAAGTGAAAGCATTCAAACTGAAGACCTGAGGAAAAGCACATGTTGCGTCACCTCTACTGTCTGAAACTCTTGAATCATGACTGACAACGCCCCCGTGTTGACCCGACCTGACTGTGAAGTGTGTGGAGCTTTATTGTACATCAAGGTTGGATATTCCTGCCGTGCATAGCAGAATACTCATCATCAGCATTAACTTCACATCACTCTGGACTGAATGTCAAGCTGTGAGACAGAATCGTGTGCAGCATGAGATATTAGCTTGGAGGATAAATGACAGCATGTGTCTCTTGTTGTCAGCACTTCGTCTGGAGTTACTCGTCCCTGTAGATTTGGATGTAACAAAGGAGTACCCACTTTTATTGGTTCTGTAAGTAGCTTCAAATACATTTTTCATTGGTAGAAGCACTTTTGAATGACATTTGCTGTGTCACATGTTCCATTTAGATCTGGGCAATATTAATCAACTTATCATACCCTTTCACAGTGACAGCGCCCCCGGTGGTCAGGCGGTGAGTGAGCGCTTCTCTCTCGGCTGGGAATCTGTGCTGGTCAGCTCAGACAAAGTCATCGTTGCTCGTCTGGACGGCCGAGGCAGCGGCTTCCAGGGCCAGAGGATTCTCCACGAGGTTCACATGATTCTGGGAACTGTTGATGTCCAGGACCAGGTCACAGTTCTGGAGTAAGTGATTTTATCTGAATATGATTCAGTGGATTCTGGACCAGGTTAAGAAACTGATTTACAGTTAGCATCTTTTGAATACCTTTTTTAATCATATTGTTCTTCTAATACTGTATATAGTGTTGCTGGAAGTTTATTTGCAGTGTGTTCTTGTACTGATGTACATTATTATTGCTTTATTCAATGTTATTCATGATCACAATTTAGTTCAGATGCTAGGAAAGATTTTACCAACTAAATAGTAGCAGTGAATAATTTATTTTAAAGCGAATTTTTTCCGATTTGCAGGCCTCCGGATCCCGCGCATGTGTTATTGTAATGTGATTCCTTTTTCCAAAGCTAGATCTATAAAAGATTAATACAATTAGTTAAACACTCAGCAATTACAGTAACAGACCATTAATTTGACACTTCGGGGATCTGCTTGTTTACCATCTAAGCGATGATTCACACAGTGCAGGAGGCTGTGTTGGTGGTGACGTGTTGTTTAACATACCAGTAACAAAATGCTAAAATGCAGGACAAGAGTTTGCTGAATGGTTTGCATTTATTTTTTTAGTCTTGATGACCACTCAAAGCTCTTTGGAGTACAGTTTGACATTCACACACACATTCACACAGTGCATCTATTAGCAGCACTTTTTGTTCTATGAGGGGCAATTTGGGGTTCAGCATCTTGCCCAAGGACACTTTGGTATGCAGATGGGGAAGACTGGGGATTGAGCTGCTGACCTTTTGGTCGGAGGACGACCACTCCACCGCTCAGCCACAGCCACCCAATCATTGAGTCAATCATGAGGTAAACAGTAGAATTTATGTAACAAGGATTCACCTGGAACCATATTCAAGCGTGTGATTTGCTGGAGCTCTATGTGACCACACCCCCGACAGCCCACTCTTTTCAGATGAGATTGTTATGGCTGCAATTTTCAGGCCGTGGTCCGATCACGACCATGACTGTATGAAAGGATGGTTATTAGCAACCTCAGTCTGCGACGTGTCAGCTCAGAATAGAAGATTTTGAGTATGTTTTGGATGTGGTTTGGTTTTTAGTAGTAGAGTAGTTTCATTTGGTTTTGCTTTCATGTACCAAGGTTGTAACTCATTATATTCATTTGTTTTAAACAGCATCCACCCATCCTCTTCCCCTCCTTTGATTAAAGTATTTGTTTGTATTTAATTATTCCAGTTGATTTGATTTTAGCTGGTTTAATGTTTCTTGTCTAACCCTTGTGATGTCTCTGGTAATACAAGTTCTAAAACAGAGAAAGCATTGATTTCTGATCACTGTGTAAAGTAGCTCTAATTTCCCAGGCATCTGATCAGGCTACCTTATATTGATGGCAACAGAGTTGGAGTTTATGGAAAGGTAATGTACAGCACCCCCCCACTGCATCTTATAAATAATGACATCAAATTGTATTAGTTTCTCAAATTGCAGTCATAATCTTTTTTTTTTTTCAGGCGTATGGAGGCTTCTTGTCCTCCCTCCTGCTGCTTTCCCACAGCTCCATGTTCAAGTGCGGCATCGCTGTGGCTCCTATAACAAACTGGAGACTCTGCGGTAAGAGTCACACACCAATGTAATCTGTGAATCATCCATGGTATTTTCTTTCTTTGTCTGTCACAATGTCCAATGGTAAAGCAGAGAAGTAGCACTGACAAACATAACAAATGTTATCATGAATAAACAGTGTAATAAAACAGCAATGTTGACCTTACTCACAACATCTCCCCGTGGACTGTTTTCCTTTTCATCCTAACAAAGGATCGGCCTTCACTGAGAAATACTTTGGCTCTCCACTGAAAGAGGATCACAAATACCAGGTATGATGGAAGCCATTTAGGATTTTGAAGGTTTTCTGGAGTCATCTGGAACTCGTTAGACAAGATCAGCATGAACTGTTCAGGTTAAGGAAACAGCTAGAACTCAATAGGTTAATGCTCCTGACCTCGCACATGAATGTTGACACTGCTGGAATTCAAAGTAGACTCATGTATAACAGTTTATTATGGCTGCAATTTATCAATAAACTGAAAACAACTTTCTAAAAAGGAAAGAGACACTGACAAACAGCAGTAACAATTAAACCCACCACAACCTAACAGAAAGTAAATGGTCACGCTAGCAACGACAGCACGAAAGAAAGAAAGAAACACACACACACACACACACACACAGTGGCCTTGATTGGTGATTGTGCCCAGTCTTGCACACTCACACTGCAGCTACAGGGAAAAAGGGAGGCAGCCGAATGGACACTGGGGAGAGAGGCCTGAGAGAAAACACAACACAGCATGTAACAGATGTAAATGAGAAGAATGAGCCTATTTTATTTGCACAAATGCAACGTTCAGCACAAAGCAATATGTTCTGAGTCGGCCCTGTTTCCAAGACAATGTGCTGTTCATTCACACAGCATGAGGCCAACTGGGATACCATGTACAAAATGAAGTTGGGTGGGGTGAAATCTTGAAATGTAGACCGTAGTGATCAATGTGTCCTCTCAGCCCGTCACGTCTCATGTCCGATGCCTCTGAAACAACGTGTCAATCACAGCGAGCCACGTGAAAAACGTCTCCACCAGACAGTAACAGGTTACTAGCGTGAGGACCGTGCAGAGTGGTTGAGTTCATGTTTGTGGAGAGTCCAATCACTTCACTCCTCTGGTAATGCCAGTGTGACTTTGCAACACAGCCATCTGAATACAGTTAAATGCTGTTTCACAGCAACATGACATCTTATTACATACATGTTATTAGTACATGCTGATGTGTTTTCCACAAAAGCTCAATCTTACACCTGTTTAAACCTGACAACATATTTAGCAGCTTAAACCAGGCCACCTTCAGGATCTGAATCTATTTCACATACATACATTTGGAAAATGGTTCTGTGTTTGGGTCAGTCTCTCACACACTTTTTATTGACAGCAGGCTGCATTCCATATAGGTGTGCCAGCTTTAGGGCCCAAGTTGTGCACTTGCTAGCTCATTGGCTGACTGAGACGGTCAAATGGAAGTGAGCCACTGCTGATTAATTAATTCCATGCCTATTCTGTAATGCGTCAAAATGTCCGCTTTGAAATAGTCTATTGCAACAAATAGTCTATTGCAACAAAGCTTCTCATTATAGCACAAGAATACAAAGATTTGCACCTTTGACTTTGACTCTTCTCCATAGCAATGGTGAGTGTGGCTTATGGGTATTCGGTATATGTTTTCTTAGAAACTATGGTGAAGTTTAAATCAATAGAGATGCCTGCATTCCTTTCTCAGTGAACACTGACGATGCCATCCAAAGACAACAGACACAGTTCAGAGGCTCTCAGCCAAAACTTTCACAACACTTCACTTTGCACTGCCTCATTTAACATTAACAGTTGTTTGCATCATTCCTCCACCTGATTGCTGTGTCTACTGCACTTTTCACAAAATGCCATAGAAACAGTTAAAGCTCAGGAATGCCATCCTGTGCAATGAGTCCAAACAAATTGAAGTTAGAGCCCATTATGGTGTTTTATTTTTCTTTTAGCACTGATTTCCTCTTTTTAGTTATGATACATCGGGTGAAGCTGTTGAACCTGATCCTGAATTTCCTTTTTCTCACTTCATTCTTTGTTAATTTCCTACTGAGCTTCCAACAAAAGCTCACAAACTCCTGAAGTGTGGTGGAAATAAACATTATCACTCAGCTCCATGTTCAAATTGCTGCTGTTCTCGAGTGTGGTGGGTAATTTTACTGCTTATTCTCCGGAACAGATTTCCTCTCTGCTCAACAACGTCACAGTCCTGAGTCCACTGAACTTTCTCATTATACACGGCACGGCAGATGGTGAGTATATCGCTACGACACAGATGTGAAGATATACTGTACACTAGGATTCATTGGCAGGATAAGCATTAACCAAACCAGGGTTGGGCTTTTGATCTTGACTCAGGTCTGAAGTTAACCTGTGGAAATAATAACAGAAGCATAATATCAATGATACTATGGCTCAGCAGCCCGTCTGAAAAATGATGCCACGTGCAATTTGCTGATTAAACAGCAGAAAAAAAGAGCTTCTATATGGGAGTAAGGGTCTCCCGTGGAATTCGGTGTTTCAGTGACTGATCAGACAATGTAACAGACATTGCATTACAATCTCTACAGTGTTCTGAACAGCATTCTTTGCTCAGCTGTTGTCTGGATCACATGGAGTCCAGCATGTTGGGTGTGGACCTGGCCAGGACCAGCACAGTGACTGTGCTGTGCTGACTGTAACACATGGAGGTGGGAGTGTGCTTATACAAGGCTGCATGAGTGCAGATGGTGCTGAGGAGATATCATTTACATATAAATAAAAAAAAGATAAACATAAATATTCAAGTTTTTGATTAGGAAAACAGTAAAAGCTTTGCCCTGAACAAGTCCGTCTCCTGTCTCGAATCCAATGGAAAACCTTAGAGCAACAAAACCCCTCTGGCAAAGAGCAGCTGAAAACTATCCTCAGAAGAATGGGAGATTTTCATATTTGTTCAAGACGAAGGATCAAATGGGTCATTGAAATTAGAGGCAGACGTACAAAATATAATAAAATGGTGAGTGGAATCTCAGTAATTGAATCAGTCAAACATTTCTGTCTTTCTTAATTGGTTTAATTTTTCTGGAGCAGCTGTATCAAATGTGCAGGACTCATAATTATTTAACATCTAGTGGTGTTAACCAGTTAACCTGTTTATTATGACCTTGATTGGAGACCACCTGAGATCAATTCAATTGACTGGTCATGGTTTTAAAGGACACGTGTCTATGTAAGGTCTCACTGCTGATCATGCATAGCAGAGTAGAAAACCTTGGATAGAGCTCAGGCATAGAATTGTGTCCAGGCACAGCTCTAGGGAAGGCTATAAAGATTCAATTCTTGCTGAGTTGAGGGGTCACTGGAGGAAAATGGCCTCCTCCAAGCCCTCAGGGACAACTGCCTTGAAAAGGAGATGACAAAAACCAAATGGTCACTCTGACTGAGTTTCAGACATCCTGTGTAGAGATAGAGGAAACCTACAGAAGGACCTAAAAGCAGGTGGAGTCTAAACCAGAAGTAAAAGCATCTGAAAATGAAAGAGTCACCTGAGCTGAATTTCAAGTGTCACAGTAAAGAGTCTGAATACTTCACTCATGAAAATATTTTTGTATAAAACACAGTTTGACTTTTGATATGGATACTGTGTAAATACATGAGTGAAACAATTCATTTAAAGATTCTTAGCATAAAGCTGCAATATAACACAATGTGATTAGAAATTAAAAGGGTCTGAATACATTCTGAATTTAACATATTTATTTTCCTATTGGTCTTAGACATTGTCTTTGACTTGTTTGACATATTAAGAAACATACATGACAAATTGTATTAAAACAACTCATATGCATTTTTCTGGGCATGTTTTGATACTACAATTGATTTTCATGAGATTACAGAGACGGTGTAATGTTGTATCAGACCATGATGAATCCAGTGTAATCATCTCCCCTCTTTCAGCCACTGTTCATTTCCAACATTCTGCTGAGTTGGTCAAACTACTGGCTGCATCCAATGTTAACTACACTCTCCAGGTGAGTGCTGCCTCTTCTAAAGTCTAACCAAGAGTTTCCTCATGATACCTTTCTTAGTAAACTGCTGACAGCAACTTAAAATAAAAAAAAACAGCCAAGAGAAGAGTTGAGCCTGTTGCTGCAGATGACTTGTTCCATGACAAAGCTGATTTTATATTAGGTACTAGACTGGTGTGCCTGTCAGGTTCACCACCATCAAATAACCCTTACAAATATGTCAATATATTGAGATTTGTGTATTCATTAGTTAGTTCATTAAATTACATCAGCTGACTGATTGTGGGAGGGTCTCAGGACAATAATAGGAGATAGTCTTTGTGAATTTCTCTAAAAGCTAGTTAGGATTAAGTTTTTTTTCCCTTAGATTGAGTCTATTTGGAAAAGAACTACCAACAAGTATTGAGTATGTGTATCAGAGATCTGCACTATAGAACTCAAAAAGAATCCCCATGAAAATACACAATGAAGTTTATTTTACTCAAACCTACACTCAAGCCATTATAAATATTCACAAGCCCATTGAATCTGGGACTGAAAATAATCCCTAACAAGTGCATGTTTTCCTTCTGTCTGAGTCGCATCTGCTAAAAGCCACAGTGACTGTTTTAAGACATTAATGACCTTTAATAAAAAAGTGGCTCAGGGCACACAGCATGTCAGAAAATGGGTTTTGACTTTTTTTTTACAGCATTTGTTGACAATAAGAAAAACAAAGATTGCCAGCTTTATCCTTCTAACTTGAATTTCCTATGTGCTTGTGCTTTAAGGAATCGAAATGAACCACCGTTTGTGTTTGATCAAACACATTCTACGCGAAGAACAAAATATAAAGTCACACTTTTCATCATCTGTTGCCCTAGATCTTCCCTGACGAAGGACACAACATGGCATCTGTCAAGAGCCAACACTACATGCTAAACTCCGTGCTCACGTTCTTCAGGCACTGCCTTCAAGAGGAAGAGGTTTCTGTCCCGCAGACATCCAAAGAAGATGACTAGCCCGTAGAGCCTCCTGTGGCGCGGCGGTTATGTGAGGAGTAGAGTGACTGCTGTGATGAGCCGCCAACGAGAGGCTGAAGGGCTGCTCTCTGTAAAAGTGCTCCCAGAAATAAGTAGCATTTTATTCGCTTGCATGGGGATTCCAGGGTTATGAAGTTAAGTAATTGAAAGGATTGTAGTATTGCTGTTATCTAATGCTTCAGATTATAATGATTAAATGTAATATTTGTAACATGTACTGAGTACAAATGTCAGGGTATCAAAGAAACTTGTATTTTTACATTCAAGAGTATAATTTTTCGCTGACTACTTTAATCTACTGTGACTATTTCTATGTAGCCTACTGAGGAAAGAAAGTTCACTTAATACCAAATCTTTGAGATCATCTCACCAAACAGTTTTTGCAGGTGCCTTTACCTCATCACAGTCATTATTTCCACAGCCAACATAGTGTTCACCCATATAATGTCTCATCAAATAATAAATATCATCAGCTCTGAGGATCACCGGAGCGTACACATCTTCAGCAGTGCTTTACTTTCCTGCTTAAATCAGACTTAAAACAATTACCATATGGTTTGAGTCACATTCAGTTTGAAAAAAAGAACTATTCTAGGAAACTTTAGCTATTTGGACTGGATTTGTGTCTCAAGGAAGGACGGGGTATTTTCACATTTACACCTGTGTTAGTTATTGATCTTAATCCTGTCTGGAGCATGTGTGTATATGTTTTCTTTATCCTCACTGCAGTATTAATGACAGCCACAATTGCCTACTTTTCCCCGTGAATTTGATGTAACAATCTCACATCAGTCCCTTCAGGAGCTTTACTTTTCTTCACAATAGAAGTTGTTTGTCCTCCTGTTTTTTCCCCCCTTTTTTATCAGCTCAGTGTAACTTAACTTATGTCAGTTATGTTTTTGTTAGTCTGACCTAGTCACATTTTAACAAACTGGCACAGTTAAAGAATGCTCGAATAAACTATTAGCATTTCATATTTGCAATGTACCCATGGATGGACAAACAACTGTGACTGGATTATTTTTAATACTGAAGAAAACGTAAAACTCATTTTTTGCAACGTCTGGGTCTTTTTCCTGTGATTCATAAGCGGAACACGATCATCAGAGATAGTGATATCCTCCAGGAGTGTAACTCACAATGGTTGTTTCAAATAACAATTTCAAGACAGAATGAAGGAATACATTGTTTGTCTCAAATTCACCACACAAAGTATCATAACCCCACATCTCTCCTGCTACTTCCCTTTATTATGAACTCTTGTTGTTTCAAATATATTATTGAAGTTATTAGATCAAACATAGATGAAAATAAGACATATGTGCTGGATTTTATCACATATGTCCTACAAGTATGTACTTCATGGATGTGAAATGGTAGTTGTTGAACTGTTAGATGACTCATGCTCATTTCTATACTTTATGTTCACTGAAGATTAATTTTTTGCAATAACATGTATTCTTCTGAGTGTTTTAACCGGCTGAATTCCATTCCTGTTAATATGTAGGGTTTAAAAGACTAAAATGTGAAAGTGTTTCAAATGGAATTAGGAAATGGGGAAATGTGTAATAATACTTATACAGTTTATCATCATATCCTTTATATGATCACAGATCATTCTCTGACCATGACCCTCTGCTGCTTACACTTCTGCATGACATTCACATACCTGGTAAAAGCGGAAATAAATGGTTGTAATAACGGCCTCTCATGTGTTTGTTGCATTGTTTGCTGATGTGCTCAACGAAGCAATGCAACCAGGGATTCACTCTGAACCACATCTGATGCCATTCAGGATTTTAAAAGTGCAGCACCACCAGTGACTCACAGGACCTCGAGGCAGCAGCAGGGACAGATGTTATCTAGCAGCTGCTTTCACATCTAATCTGCACGGTGACATCATGAGGTAATTGTTGAAAAGATATGAAAGAGCTAAATGAGACAATCAATATCAGTGTCATAAATACAGAGCTGATGTGAACTCATGATTGGCCTATATCATAAAGATTTGTGTGAGTTGTGCTGAATGTGTAACTATACATTCACCTATAATAGAAATCTATGTAACCAAAAAAATGTAATTGCCACCAGAGCTGAGATAAAATGAAATCAAACCTGCCAGCCTGATTGAAAAGTTGTAAACAGTTAGTGTCCTTTTCTAATACTAAACTTCCTCTGGCACCATAAACTGTCCTTTCTACATTTCTCTGTCTGTACAACTTAGATTTTACAGCCAAGCCTGTTGACACTCAAATTCTTGAATTATGACCTGAGATGTGTTTTTTGAGGTCACGATAACTTGTGAACTTTGACCGCCATAATCGAATCAGCTCATCCTGAGGTGGAATTCAACATTTTAAGAAATTCCTTCAAGGCGTGACTGAAATATCAAATTGTAAGAATGGGACAGATCATTATGCCTGCGGCTACGGCTGTCAAACACATTACAATGACGCCTGTAGCCCCTCACCACAGGGCCTCTCTTTCTGCTACAGCTGTAATGAAGCTCTGAGGGCAACATCCATTGCGTCTGACTCCACAGGTCTTTCTTTGGCCTTGTCACAGTCAAATTTCTGATTCCATCTCATCTTTTTTTAAATATACGGGTACTGTTTGCTTCACCATCACTAGGGATATGGATTGTCACTAGGCAGATGGATTGTTTTGGTGCCCTTAGCTATTCCTTTAAGTGACATATTTACCCTGCTGGGATGTGTTAGGGTTTCTGACAGTTGACTACAACTGTCAGTACTCAGAATAATGCATTAAGTAAGATATCGCACACATTTGGCTTCAGGTTGATTTAGTCTTTATGTATATGGGATTATATATAAAAAGTACTACTATGTTTTTGATATTAAGTTAGAACAAGAAAAAAGTGTGGCTTATGTTTTGCACCACAAAGTGACTTGAATTACCTGGAAGAATTCCTGATCAAGACCAACTTTGGTCTATGTGATCTCATCAGGTTTGGTTAATTGGCTTCATGTCAGTTCAGGGCACAATGAATGAAAAGTTGCATTTTGACCAGCATCAGCACATTTAGTGAGGTTGATCAATGCACATTTACATTTCAGAAATAAA